GGGGGGGGGGAATAGTGCCCCATCGTTGATGTCAGTGGGGGGGAGGAATAGTGCCCCATCGTTGGTGTCAGTGGGGGGGAGGAATAGTGCCCCATCGTTGGTGTCAGTGGGGGGAGGAATAGTGCCCCATCGTTGGTGTCAGTGGGAGGAATAGTGCCCCATCATTGGTATCAGTGGGAGGAATAGTGCTCCATCATTGGTATCAGTGACACCAATGATGGAGCACTATTCCTCCCACTGACACTTGCTGACCCTGTTCTCGTATGGTGCTGCTGCAGCCAGCATATGTGGTTGCAGCAGCACCTCTACACTGACCACTTACCTGCTGGTCCTGCACTCGATTTTCGCGGGGCCGCTCGGCTCCACCCCCTCGCCGGTGATTGGCCGCCTGTGTGCCTTTCCTGAGCTACAGTTCTGGCGGCCAATCACTGGTGAGGAGGCGGAGCCGAGCAGCCGCACGAACATCCAGTGGTTGAACTGAAGGCGCAGCCGCGCTTCCTGGACCGGATCGTCGTGGGACCGGAACCAGGTAAGAAACAGCCGCTGCCCACCCCTGTACTTAGTGTCCCTTCCATTGGGGGAAGGGGGGGGGTGGCGGCGGCAACGTGCCGCCCCCCCCCTAAAAAGTGTCAGTATGCCGTATACCGGCGTATAAGATAACCCCCGACTTTTGAGAAGATTTTCAAGGGGTAAAAAGTCGTCTTATACGCCGGCAAATACGGTACCTTTTCTCATCAGCAGTTAAAGCAGTCTTGTGACTTCTATCAGTGTCCAGCTGAGCACTGGGTACATCTTGTAGGAGGAGTTTTCTTTCTGCTATAGAATGATGCGAAACCCCTAACCTCTGTCTGGACAGTGCTGATTGGCCCTGTGCTGATCACATGCAATCTCCCAAGAAAATACCTCTCTAGCAATACACACTGAACTGAGCATGTGCAGAGTGTCTCCACAGGATCTGTCTTATCAGGAGATAAGAGGGTGGCACTGGAAGAAGGAGAGGATCAGAAAAGTCAGGATTTAACAGCCCTTGTACACAATGTAGAGGATTAACCCCTTAGGTTTCATAGTGAGAATATCAAGCATGCTTTACTGCATATACAGACCAGGGGCAGACTGACCAATTAGAAACTCGGGTACTGCACGAGGGCCGGGGGTCAGTAGGGGCCCCATGAGATGCCCCTGGTACCTTTTCATAGGCTTCTTTGAGTTTGGGCAAGGAGACAGGGGCCCCATGATCCCCTATTGCCCGGGGGCCCCATGAGTTGTCAGTCCGCCCCTGATACAGACTGATTTTACTGTTGTGGGTTTAGTAACACTTTAGCTTCAAATCTCTATTGGTCCAGCTTGGCACAATATAAGTATGTATATCTCAAACCTGAGGGTTCACTGAGGAAGCTGACAATCACTGTAAATAAATGCCAAGGATCAGCGCTGAAGAGATTTTGGCTTAAATCAATATACACCTCACATAGCGGTATGTCTTTATTGTGCAAATTCATAAATGATATCCAAACAACATCCAGAGCTGAGGCACACCCAGGCTGTCAAGATGGAATGGCCGCTCACCTGTGTCCCCAGGCCAGGAAGAGATGGTATGTGTTCCTGCACCGGCCGGGGATCGCGGTGCTCCGGAAGTGATGTCACTGCAGCCAGGAAGGAAGTGGAAGTGGGGCGCTAGGTGTGGAACACAAGCTCAACTGGTAACCACAACGCGTTTCGCTTTGTCAAAACCGGCCATTCTATCTTGACAGCCTGGGTGTGCCTCAGCTCTGAATGTTGTTTGGATATAATTTATGAAGTTGCACAATAAAGACATACCTCTATGTGAGGTGTATATTGATTTAATCCACAGTCTCTTCAGTGCTGGTCTTTGGCATTTATTTATCTATCACTCCTTCAGTGTTACACCAGCAGCAGTGGACAAGTGGCCCCCTACTTAGGCCTAAGCACTTGGACCTTTTGTTCCTGACAATCACTATAGTAGTTGTTGCTACTACAGAAATAGCTGTGCTCTTCTTCTGTCTTGTGCCAAGCAGCCCTTCCACCCTGCGTGCTGACCACAGAGGGTCGTTCATTTGGCACTGCTGCCATTCAAACAGCACCTTCTATTTTTTAACCTCTTCGGCGGTCTGATTCTTTCCGACTTTTTGTGCTGAAAGCGGCACCATTTTTTTGCATGGAAATATGTAGTTTTTTTATTGTAGGCTGTAATTTTTAGGAATAACTCACTGAAATCTGTCCGAACAAGAGTCTAGTAAACATTCCGGATATGATAAAACTTGAAACTAGAAATCATAAATTATAATTTAATAAATAATCATAAAAAATAATAATATAATAATAATAAATTTAATTCAATAATATAATCAAACCAAAAAAACACTGAAATTTGAAATACAGAGGTAAATTCGCACATCGCTGAGCAAAGTCGCAAAATCGTTTTCAGTGTCTGATGACGAATTTCCCCACAAATCATTATCACTCAATTCTGCAAGTGGTTCTGATTTACTATCGCTGTTCTCTAGCTGTTCTAAAACCGCTTTTGATGTAAAGGGATGCTTTTTGAACGCCATGGACGTTTCTAAGTTTCCAGGCAGAAAGAACAGTCAAAATGCAGGCAGGGCACAGGACAAAGCAGTAGGGACAAAATATATGTGAAATGCATTGAAACAGCAATGACAGCAAAAATGACATTTTTAAAAATTTCAAATTTACCGCCGGTTCCGGCGCCCGTACGTCCCGACGTCACGGACTGGAACACGGAAGCCAGATGCCGGCATCGGCCGGAGGAGATGGCCGGGGACGCTGCAGGGAACACATCGCGGGAGCGAAGGACAAGTTAAGTGCTGCAGGGACCCCCTGAGCAAATGCCGCATGGTAAGCCCGAGTGTAGCTCGGGGTTACCGCTCTTGGTATTGAAATTTTACCCCGAGCTATACTCGGGAAAAACCGCTAAGGAGGTTAATGAACACAAAGCATTCTCTGATTGGATGAGGTGGAGTGGCAGGACAGTGGCATCACAATCCACCTGGCCCATTCTGAGAATGACTTGTATTCACAGGAAAAAATACAAGGGATTCTGTGTGCGGTGCTAGTGCAGAGTGGGTCATCCACTGTGGTCAGCATACAGGGAGGCATCCGCTCAGCACAGGATAGAGGTTGTCCCTGTAGTAGAACTGACTACTGCAGTGATTGTCAGCTTTCCTCAGAGCCCCTAGGCATGAGATTTACTCTTAGCAGTTCAAACACTCCAACGTTTAGACAGAAGTGCAAAAACACATAGTAGTGAGCAAATGCCTAGGGATTTATTAATTAGACAGTTAGACAATTCCATACTCACAAACATTAAATAGAACAGGAATATCAAATAGCAACTCCAGCTGTGAGGCGAAGTCATCTGACCATGTACAACACGGTTGGAAGGCTGATGCGTTTCGAGGGACATGTCCCCTTTCTCAGAGCTAAACCAGCTACATGCAACGCCACATTTTAATATGGTTGGTTTATATCTAAGCCCTGGTTCACATATGTGCATTCCTGCGGTCCGCATTTCGTGCGGGCACGAGAGCCCATTCATTTGAATGGACTCTCGTGCCTTGGGACACGTAGGGAAGAAGTCCCTGCACTTCTTCTGAAAACGCAGCTCGCACGGGAACCTCGGTTCCCAGTACGGTTGCGATTTCCAGTGCGGGTGGCGTGCCATTAGAATTAATTTATGGGCGACTTCTTTCTTGGCTCTACATCGAGCTGATAACTTTCAGAGCCCAGTGTGAAAGACAGCTGCAGAGCAGCTCAGGATCCAGAGGAGGGAGATTCCTTTCCAGGCTACATATCCGTTCCACCTTAAAAGGAGACCTCTGGCTGATCACATCATTTACACAAATGCGTATTTAAAATGCTCATCTGGTGAGTGTGCTTTTTTACTATATCCCTAGCACTTCACCGAATATATTATTGGCACATGGAATGTATTTGTGACCACTTGAACACAGATCTTCACGTAGTATCACCAATTAATGGACATTAGAATTTTCACTATCACATGGACTTTTAATCTATTTATTTATTTATGTATTTATTTTAGAGCACATATTGAAATCATATGTTTGCTTTTTACAACTTAATTTTACTGTGGATTTACGCAAAAGAATTATTATTTATTTTAAAAACACACTTTATTGGATTTGAAAATATTCATATGATCATTATCGTATGAGCGCTGCACTCTCTGATTTTACATGCTATTGTGCTATTGAAGGTTTTTTGGTTGCCATTTTAGTGCATTAGCTGATTTCTTTTGTTTTTTAGAATTAATAGCACCCGCCCGTGAGTGTGCATTCTTCTGTGCAGGTGGTGTGGCTGCATGGATTTTTGTTCGGATCCACAGCGGCACCACCTGCACATATGTGAACCTAGCCTAAGGGGCCATGTCCCTTGTAATGCATCAGCCTTCCAACCATGTTGTACGAGGCCAGATGACATTGCCTTATGAATGGAGTTGCTATTTGATACACCTGTTCTTTTTAACCTCCCTGGCGGTATGATTATTTCAGATTTTTGGTGCTGAAAGCGGTATAATTATTTTGCATGGAAATTGGCGTTTTATATTGTAGGCCTGTAATCTTTAGGAATAACTCACTGAAATCTGTCTGAACAAGAGTCTAATAAACATCCCAGGCAGGTAAAACTTGAAACACAAAATCATAAATTATAATTTAATAAATAATCATAAAAAATAATAATATACCATTATACATTTAATTCAATAATATAATCAAACCAAAAACACTGAAATTTGAAATATAGCACCAAGTTCGCACATCACTGAGCAAAGTCGCATAATCGATTTCAGTGTCTGATGACGAATTTCCCCACAAATAATTATCACTCAATTCTGCAAGTGGTTCTAATTTACCAACGCTGTTCTCTAGCTGGTCTAAAACCGCTTTTGACCTAAAGGGACGCTTTTTAGACGCCATGAACGTTTCTCAGTTTCCAGGCAGAAAGAACGGTAAAAATGCAGGCAGGGCGCCGGACAAAGCACTCGGGACAAAATGTATGTGAAATGCTTTGAAACAGTAATGTTTTACTATGTGATTTTAGTGAGTGAATGTCACTTTTTGTCATTTTCAAATTTCCCGCCGTTCCGTCCCCCATACGTCCTGATGCTTGCGGGGACAGAACCCAGATGACAGATGCCGGCATCGGCTGGATTACATTGCCGGGGACACTGCAGGAGGGACATTGCGGGAGTGCAGGACAAGGTAAGTGATCGAGGGATTGCAGAGTAATGCCGCATGGTAAGCCCAAGTGTAGCTCGGGGTTACCGCTTGTGGTACTGAAACTTTACCCCGAGCTACACTTGGGAATACCGCCAGGGAGGTTAATGTTTTTTCAATGAGATATACATACTATTTTTGGTCCAAGTTGGACCAATGTACTGTAAATATACAAAAAAGATCACACCTGGAGTCCAGCTTTAAGGACTCATTTACATTTGTGCATTGCGTTTAATGCATAAATGTTAACTTGCTTTGCGTTAAGGTTCCCCAGTTATTGTAATGGGCTTCCCAACATACCAAAATGATTTATCACCGTGAGTTCGGTGGACTGCAACCGACTGATTGTCTGGACTGATTGTCACTGCAACGCAATACTGCAATGCAACAATGTGCCTCAAACATATATCTTATTTCAGGGTTAAATAAATTCATGTGATCTTCAGAAGCAAAGCTGGCCAATCTAAGAGCCAGCGGGAGTCAGGGCACCATAATGTGAGGAAGGAGGGATAGCTTGAAATATATGTCACATTGCAGTGCTATTTAATAACGGTGTTCCATCATTGGGATTCCAATCCTTTTGAAATTGCAGATGGAGCATTATTGTCATCTCTAGATCTGGCATCGTGTTCTCGGAATGGGGAGAGTTGGTGACAATTTATTCTGTTTCCTGCACACTACAGCATCATATACAGAGCCACATTTTTACGTTTCTGCAACATAATATCATAAGACCATAAATGTATCAAAGAAATAGGTTAAAAAAGTTGGATTCCAACCTTATTGTTTGTGGTTCATTACAAAAAATCTCATTAGTACAAATATTTGACAGAACATATAAAAAGGTTAAAAGACAATTAAAAGAACATATCAAAATGTACTCACATATACCTTCTTAACCACTTGTCGGTCCGCCACATTTACTGGGGCAGGTGCCGGCACAGTCACGTATATAAATACGTGATCGACTTTGTTCCCGGGTTTGTGATTGGACACAGCATGAATTTGGCAGTCGATTTCAGCCAGTGATTTTGACTGAAGTCAGCTGATCAACTGTGCCCAATCACACACAGAGTTCTGTTTTCAGAAAACACAGAACTCAGTGTGCAGGGAACAGGGAACAGTACATATTACACACATTACACATTGATAGGGACACAAATAACCCCTTGATTGCCCCTTGATGTTACACCCTTCCCGGTCCAGTGACAGTTCACTAGTGTCACTATTGATGTTAGTGTCAATTAGTTAGCGTACCCCCCAGCCAGCGTAAACTAGCACTAGATTGCCCACCACACTATCACAGTCCTGCTTTAAGTCATTGATCACTGCCATCACTAGTATAGTATCATAGCTGTGTAAATTCTAGTACATATGCCATCGTGTGTACACGCTATAACTTTCATTCAAGCCAATTAATATACACTTATTGGAATTTTTTTTATACCAAAGACATGTAGCAGAATACACTTTGGCCTAAATTTATGAAGAAAATAGATTTCCTGAGTTTTTGTGTTGGATATATTTTTTATAAAAGAAAGTAGAAATATTGGGTTTTTTTTTTAATCTTTTCGGTATTTGTTCCTTTACAGAATATAATAAAAATGTAAAAACCCAATGGTGACCAAATACCACCAAAAGAAAGCTCTCTTTGTGTGAAAACACGCTACAAATTTCTTTTGGGAACAGTGTTGCATGACTTTGCAATACCAGTTAAAGTAGTGCAGTAGCATATCCTCTTGTCATGAAAGGAGTAAAACCTTCCAGAGGTTAAATTGGTAAAGCTGAAGTCAGAATAGGCAATTATTGTCTAAATACAAGAGTCATGTGTATTCTTACTTTAATATTTGTGAATTTTTTCCAGATCTGAGCAGTAATACAGTATGAAACTTTGCTTCTGTGCAGGAGCTTCCTGTATTAAAGACCAATCAGCACTGCTCTCTCTCCTTGTACAGGGCGTCTGGTCTTATATCCGCCCCCTCCTGTAGTTTTCTGTATACAGCCTGTAGTAGATGGAGTTGCTTGGGCCCCTCCAAGAATTCTCTGAACCATTAATGTGGAGCACAGGGTTGATATCACCACAATATCTACAAGGTAATACCTGGATTTTCAAAGGCATTTGGTGCACACAAAGTAGATTTATATCTTTGTGGTTATTGATTAACCTCCCTGGCAGTATTCCCGAGTGTAGCTCGGGTAAAATTTCAGTACCAAGAGCGGTAACCCCGAGCTACACTTGGGCTTACCATGCGGCGTTGCTCAGGGAGTCCCTGCAGCGCTTACCTTGTCCTTCGCTCCCGCGATGTGTCCCCTCCGGCCAAATGCCGGCATCCGGCTTCCGTGTTCCAGTCCCTGTGACGTCGGGACGTACGGGCGCAAATTTGAAATTTTTAAAAAATGTCATTTTTTAAAAAATGATTATTATATAGTAAAACATTGCTGTTTCAATGCATTTCACATATATTTTGTCCCTACTGCTTTGTCTTGTGCCCTGCCTACATTTGGACTGTTCTTTCTGCCTGGAAACTTAGAAAAGTCCATGGCGTCCAAAAAGCGTCCCTTTATGTCAAAAGCGGTTTTAGACCAGCTAGAGAACAGCAATAGTAAATCAGAACCACTTGCAGAATTGAGTGATAATGATTTGTGGGGAAATTCGTCATCAGACACTGAAAACGATTTTGCGACTTTGCTCAGCGATGTGCGAATTTGCCTCTGTATTTCAAATTTCAGTGTTTTTGGTTTGATTATATTATTGAATTAAATTTATTATTATTATATTATTATTTTTTATGATTATTAATTAAATTATAATTTATGATTTCGTGTTTCAAATTTTATCATATCCGGAATGTTTACTAGACTCTTGTTCGGACAGATTTCAGTGAGTTATTCCTAAAAATTACAGGCCTACAATAAAAAACTACATATTTCCATGCAAAAAAATGTACCGCTTTTAGCACCAAAAATCGGCAATAATCATACCACCAGGGAGGTTAATATATTTAAATTACAGTTTTTGTGCTTTAAACCTGAACTCCATGCAGATAATAAAACATCTTCATTTATTCTAGTGATGTACTTGTTAAAAAATTATTAAATTAATGTGTAGTATTTTTATAAAAGTGTCAAATATTGCATTATAATTATTTGTTTCGTGCTTTAAAGCCAGCAGGTGGAGCTTTAAGTTCCTTTTTTCCATTTACCTCTATCACCTTTTCACCTGTGATAAAACAGAACCCTGTGTTGTACAAAATGCTCAGCAGCTCAAGGTGAAATATGCACACAGCAATAAATTATCCTTTTTAATGATAAGTTGACCCCGTAAAAATTATTTTCTAAAATTTTAAAGCGGTACTAAACACTACTTGTAAACTTATAAGAAAGCACAAGGGATATCAAATAAACATGCCCATTTAAGGAGATATTTGCTATTTCTGCAGCTGGTGATGTCACTTGCACAAGCACACTGCATTCTGAAGGGATAACATAAGCAGAGTGACATCATCGCGGCTTAGCCATTCAAACAGCTAGAGCCCACAAAACCAGAAGAAAGACGAAGGGAAGATGGAAGCCCTGTCAGGGGTCACTGAAAACTTTCTTTTTAAGATAGGTCTTTCATAATGTGCTAGTATGTGATGCATACTAGTTCATATTGACACTATCTTTCAGGGACCGGATTTTTGCTTTTTGTTTTTCAAGACTTTACTACTGCTTTAACTGTATGGAAAATTTGTATTCTTAACTTACGTCCATCTTCCTCGTTGCAGGACGTACAGGTTTTCAAAGTTTCTTTACATGATGGAAAAGCTCTTGATCTAACCGTGTTTTTATGTTTTTTTTTTAACTGGGATTCTCTGAAAATGATACCATTTATGTCAAGACATTCTCAAACATAAAATTAGTCAATGTAAAAAAAAACACTTGTCTCCAAAACACCAGATGCATAGGTAATATTTTGACATATCTCGATCTATAAATGTACCTTACAACTTTAAACCCAAAGAATGCATACTGCAATTACAGACTCATCCCCTTTTTATTTCCAAATCTTGTTATGTTACCTATTGTTACAGTTTCCAGATTATCGCCTAGTCTTTCTTTGTTCCTTCTTTCATTCCACCCTCATGCGCCAATCAGATGCATACCATCTCCTTATCTTCCTCTTACCCTTAATTTCCATCTGATCTCATCTTGATTTCTTGCTTTTTTACCTTCTTATTCTTCAATCACTGAAAGGCAGGTCCCACAGGGCATAATAATAGGCGACGAGCATTGCTCCAACTTTGTAAGCTGCTGGGTTTGGCTATTAAATGTGGAGGCCATAACTACTGTAATGGCAATTACAGATCTATGACAGCATGTTCTGTTTCATAACAGAACATAATACACCTGCCAGCAATGTTTCTTTTCCATATTGCTTTATTCTGTAATGATGATACCTCAAATGTTGTAAGACAATAAAAATAAATAATAAAAAAATAAAATAAGATTTTAGTGTGATATTGTTAAGTTTTTAGAAACCAGCAACACATCCAGGGCAAAAAAAAAAAAAACACAGAGGGACAAGCCGTTGTAACCAGTGGTTGTTGTCAAAAAATAAGGAACATTTGGCACCAATGGGATTGTCACAATAAGTAAATATTATACATTCTTTGGCACGCCTAATTAGGCTACATTCACACTTGAGCGTAGGATAGTTAGCTAAGTTTAAAGATTTTTTTGTGGGGTTTTTTCATGTTTATTTGTGCATTTTAAGAGTTTTTGCAGTATAGAAGCTTCTTTGGGGCAGGATTGCATGTTTTTGACCCCATAAACATTTATTATTATAGGATCGCTTGAAAAAATCCATAACATGCATTATTGCATTTTGTTTTCAGGCCCTTAGATTGAAGTCTATGGTGCCAAAATAACCAAATCTGTCTGAAAAGAAGCTCCTGTATTTTTTCAAGTGACAGACACCCCAGAGCTCAGGTCAGAACAGCCACCATTTAAAACAATGGTAGGGTTTAACCCCTTTCTTTCCACTTCCCTGCAGCCCTTTAGGTGGGCTTTAATGTAAAGAGGT